TAAAAAACTTATGACTCCCGAATCTTAAAAGATGAATCTATTAAGTATATTTATCGCTCTTTCCTCAGTATTTACAATTTACAAGGCTATATGAGTCACACACACAAATAGATGTTGCATTAATTGAAGGGTATACAATTTATTATCCAATTAACACAAAAGGAAAGACTTTACTAATCAGTCTATGACAACAGAAATAAACCAAGACACTCCTGGCACAAGCTTATCATTACACATATTCCTTCTTCAAATGAATTGTACAAATAGTAAAATTTCTTAGAATAAAAGGAGATATCAGTGTGGAGACTGTACCATGTGTAGCCATTGAAAGACAGAGAGGCCTTTTCATGCACAGGAAAACACTGAGACTACTAATATTCTAGGAAATTGAAGACATTGCAAGATGCACTGAGTAGTAGATAATTTCAAAATGTGATGTTAAAAAACATAAACAGAAGTTCCATGAGAAACCCATTGGATTTTGAGAATAGTTTTTCACAAAATGGTCTTCAACTGTCCCTTTCTCTTTATTCAGTGATCCAGTAAAAAGTCTTTATTGTGATTCCTAAGGCTGTCTTACATCATCTTTGCTGGAAAGGTGACTTGTAACTTATGTTAACTTGAGGTAATCCATTTAATATCTCTGGATACCAGAGATTCTCCTTCAAATAACTAGGAAACAAACTAAATATTGTAAATCAGCATGTCATTTTTTTTTCTGATAGAAGAATCTCCGTGAAATCCATGATTCCTATGGGAAAATTTCTTGTGAGGTTGTAAACATTAACTTTAAACACTAAGCCTTTCATGTAGTGTCTTAGGCCTTCTAAACAGATGACAATACCCATTTTGGTAATAAAAAAAGTATCAAGCTTCACTTAACTATCCACTTACAATTGTTAAGCATCTTATTAATTAATGCTTTCATTAAAATTTGGCTTAAAATTCAGGAAATATTAAAAATATTTAAAATATGCTATTTAAAATTTACATATAAATACAAGATATGTGTCTATAAAATAGAAAACAATATCTATCTACACCAACCAATGTTCTATATAAGTATTTACTATAAAAGTGTATATTTAGCTGGTAGGTGGTGGCACACACCTTTAATCCCAGCACTGGTGAGGCAGAGAAAGGTGGATCTTTGTGAGTTTGAGGCCAGCATGGTCTACAGTGAGAGTGCCAGGATAGCCTCCAAACCAATACAGAGAAACCCTGTCTCAAAAAAAAGTATATATTTATTGTATAATGTACTTAGGGAAGGCACATTAATACAGATAATCATGTCTACCATGTAATTTAGCATTAAATCCCAATATCAGGCATTCCTGCCCATACTCAGGGCAGAGGGCAGAGGTGAGCTCTATGTCCCCATCTTAGTCCCGAATCCCTCCTGCTTGCCTTCTCTTAGATCTCCTAGCCTGGGGACACAGCCAGGAAGATGTGCACACAATGGATGACCAAACAACCAGGAGCCTGCAGAGAGAGCTGGTCCACTTCTGCCCACACTCAGGACAGAGGACAGAGCGTATTGGATTTGCTTGCACCCACTGAAAGGGAACCCTGGTAACTTACCCACCAGGAGAGGAAGAGGCTCTTTCTACACCCACTGAAAGAAGTGATGGGAAAGAGGCAATATAAGAACACACTCAGCAAATGAAAAACAAATATGATGTAGAGATTGACACCAGCAAGACATGAACATGCCAGTGCAGAAGAAGCAGAAGGCAATGACCTTAAAAACACTTTCATGAAAATGATAGAGGCCCTCAAAGAGGATATGAGAAAATCCCTTAAGGAAATGTAAGAAAAAAATCCAACAAATACAAGAAAGGGAGGAAAACACAAAGCAAAAATTACAAGAAACAATTCAAACAGTACAAGGTTTGAGAGCTGACATGGAGACAATAAAAAAACACAGATTGAAGGAATGCTGGAAATAGAAAAACTGGGCAAATGGTACTACAGATACAAGCATAACAAGCAGAATACAAAAGATGGGAGAGAGAATCTCAGGTGTTGAAGACACATTAGGAGAAATAGATTCATCGACCAAAGAAAATCTTTTTTTTTTTTTTGGTTTTATGAGACAGGGTTTCTCTGTATTGTTTTGGAGGCTGTCGGCCTAGCCCAGCCTTGAACTCACAGAGATCCCCCTGCCTCTGCCTCCCGAGTGCTGGGATTAAAGTTGTGCGCCATCACCGCCAGGCTCAAAGAAAATCTTAAGTCCAAAAACTCCCTAACACAAAACATCCAGGAAATATGGGACACTGTGAAAAGACCAAACCTAAGAATAATAGGTATAGAAGAAGGTGAAAAATCCCAATTCAAAGGGGCAGAAAACATATTCAACAAAAGCATAGAAGAAAACTTTCCCAACCTTAAGAAAGACTTGCCAATGAAGGTACACAAAGTTTACAGAACACCAAATAAAGTGGACCACAAAAAAAGTCTCCTCACCACATAATAATCAAGATGCACATTCATACAGCAAGGACATCTGTTCCACTATGTTTATAGCAGCATTATTTGTAATAGCCAGTACCTGGAAGCAACCTAGATGCCTCTCAACTGAAGAGTAGATAGAGGAAATGTAGTACATTTATGCAATGGAATACTATTTAGCAGAAAAAAAACAATGGAATCTTGAAATTTGCAGGAAAATGGATGGCACTAAAAGAAACCATTCTGAGTGAGGTAACCCAGTCACAAAAAGACAAACATGATATGTACTCACTCATATACAGATTTTAGACATGAATCAGGAGAATGCTAGTCTACAATCCCACTGCCAGAAAGGCAGGGTAACAGGAAGGACTCTAAGAGAGATATGCATGGTACCCCAGAGAAGGTGGAATTAGGCAAGATCTACTAAGCAGATTGGGAGCACAGGGTGGGGGAGGGGAAAGGGAGCCAGGAAAAAGAGAGGGATAGAAGAAGAAAGGAGAGGAGGACATTGGGGAGCAGGAAGGTTGAGTTGGGGGAAGAATAGAGGAGAGCAAGATGAGAGATATCATAATAGAGGGAGTCATTCTAAGTTTGAGGGGAGATCTGGCACTACTGAGATCTCCAGAAATCTACAAGGATGACACTAACTGGCAAACTAAGCAGTATTGGAGAGACTACATTAAATGTTCCTCCTTAATAATGATTTTGACCACTGTCTTACATACCATCCTGGAACCTCCATCCAGTGACAGACGGAAGCGGAGGCAGACACCCACAGCTAAACACTGAACTGAACTCCTGGAACCCAGTGACAGAGAGGGAGGAGTGATGAGCAAAGGGGTCAAGACTGGGCAAGTGAAACCCAGAGAAACAGCTGACCTGAACAAGGGGGAAATCTTGGACCCCAGACTGATGGCTGAGAGGCCAGCATGGGACTGATCCAGACCCCCTGAATGTGGGTGTCAGTGAGGAGACTCAGGCAATCTATGGAGTTTTGGAGTAGTAGATCAGTATTTACCCCTGGCACACAAGTGGACTTTGGGGACCCATCCCATAATAAGTAATGTTTTCTCAATCTGGACACTTTGGGGAGGGCCTGGGCCCTCCCTGGAATGAAATGACAGACTCTAGAGATACCCCATGGAGGGCTTTACCCTCTCTGGGGAATGGAGTGGGGATTGGGTCGGGGGCTGGAGGGGCTGGTGGGAGAAGTGGGTGTGAAGGGGAGAGAGAGAGAGCTGGAAATGACATGGGAAGCAAGCTTGTTCCTAATTTAAATATATAATAAAAAGTGTAAAAAAAAGAAAAAATACCAATGTCAGTAAGATTTATCAAGCAATCGTCCAAGCAGAATAATTCTGAGAGTTTCATGCAAATTTAAATTGTTCTCTATATATTTTTTAAATAAAAAGGGGAAATGAATAATAGAAAGTAGAAGAATAAATTGAGAAAATTTAACTTAACTGAGATTTATTGATTGAAGCATGAAAACTTAGAATAAAAGTCTACCATTTCTTTGTGTCCCTCACCTTGAATACAAAATGGATCATTCAATTTTGAATTAAGAAACTTTACATATTTCCTAAGAAATGACTATGTATTTGACAAGAAGGCAGATACTAAATATATAATCATTTTTAGAGTTTCTCTTGTCCTAAGAAAACTGACATGAAGTTAAGACACATTGACAGTAACTTCAGTGTGACACTCATGCAAAATGCAAGGATGCTAGCTTTAGTGTCACATTCACAGTCACTACAGAGTCACCTTCTCAGAAGGTATCTCTCCTTGTAAGAGCTGGGACATGGGACATGAAAACATGCAGAAGTCTAAGTGGTTCGTTCGACTGTGACACTGAAGTGGCTGATATGACTCTGCAGTGTCCCCTTCAACAGCTCTTTCCGTAGTGTTCAGAGACGTTGGCCACACAGATAACATATTTTTATAAAACGATAGTCATAGAAATAATTAATTCTGCAATCTGATTTATCCAATAAGATGCTTCTCCACAGTGAAACAATAACCCCTAGCATGAGCAACAAGTCCACAGAAACATGAGGTGGCTTCTTCAAAGGCCTGAATTGCCAGCAAACTGGCAGGAGAATCTAACCATTCTTGTTTCTTCTTGTCTTCAGAATTGTTTTGCTTATTTTTCTTTTCTCCCATTTTGCCTTTGCAGAAACAGTGTATTATGGGTTCATTTAGCTTTATGTTTGTTTAAATGTGTTCCTATAATGTCCTTATGTCTTTTGGGACTATAGAATCATTTGGAAGAGAAATTGCTCCATTCTTTATAATGGGATTCTGTAGGAATATTACTTTTTGTTTTCTAATTTTTTTATTATTGGTAGTGTGTATACTTATTGTTATGGAGTATGTAATAGTGATGATATTGACCTTGTCATTGCCCTTGCTCATAGTTAACAGGTCATTGGTGACTTAAGATTGATGAAAACAACATGCTCATAATTTCTAATAGGTGTTATGTTGTGTTCTTATATGGAAGAATGCCCTATCTTGGTTCAGAAGGACCAAAGTTGCTTGTGAGATAGTTTTGCTCTTTGTTTGCTGTCTTTTTTTTTTTTTTTTTTGAGACAGCAGTACTTCAACTTGCATGTGAGATTGGTCAGCTTTTGGAGGTATCCTCCAATCCATTCCATGCACTCTAAGCATGCTCTGTTTCTGTAATTAAATTTCCTTTCCAGTGAAAAAGACACAACTGGTGGTGATTGCTACAATAGGGTTGGTAACTATAGAAATCATGAGTTGTGGCTTTGCCTAGTTATGTCTTTATCATCCACAAGGGGCCCTCACATGCTGTTCTTCAAGAATGTTCAGAGTCAATGTGCAGGCATCTGGACAAGGTAGAGTTGAGATCAAAGCTACCTGTGGAGAGTACATCATGCTTGTAAGTTTTATTTCTGGATTCAGTGGCTCATTTGTCAAGAAAGATCTAAGCCATAGCTTTCTTTATCTCCCTCTTGCCCGCCACCTTCCTTCTCTAAGCCTACACGGTCTTGCACTTATTGTCACCCGGTCTCCATTTTCAATCCCCTTGTGTTTTTCAATGCATTGCATTACAAATCTCAAAAAAACCCAACAGTTCTGATTTTTATCTGAGCATGAAAAGATCACTGACTTTCCGTGGCCTCAAAGTGTAATAAGTTTGTTAAAAAAACAATACATGGGAAGTGTTACAAATATAAAGGGCATGACTGGTCCTTCAAGGTAAGCTTCTAGCCACACTGAGTGAATGTAACCCCGTGCCACCCATTCTTACAGGCACCCATTTAAAGTTATGGGATGTGTTCCCCCAGTGTATGTCTTATTTTAGAAAATAAACTTTGGCACAATTGTAATGGAGTTTTGATGATCTTTGACCCATCTCAAACACTTACAAAAGCAGAGTACCTCAAGGTATGTGGGGAATCTTAGTTCATTTAGAGTGAAGAAAAGACATTATTCCAGTTTTTAATTAAATGTTCAAAATTTGAGTATGTTTACTGCTGTGGGTGATGAAATACGAACCACAAAGCTCAAACAAACCCACGTGAAGTGTTTTGGGGGAGGCAAAGAAGGGGGGCTGGGTAGATGCTGGCAAACCAGGAACAGAGAAGGAGAGAGGGGAGGGGGAGAGGAGGAGGAAGAAGCAGGGTGCTCGCTTAAAGGGGAAAGCTTGCACAGGCGTATGAGGTCTTTATGTGGGCACGTAACACATGATGTAGCCATGCAACCAACACAGGGCCCTTTGAGCTGTCTAAGTATCTGCCTGAATGCCAGTGTGCGGACCCTGCCCATTGTTAGGGCGCAGGGTCAGCATAATGCAAGGCTACCAACATTTACTTTTTATTCTTGGGAACTATTCAGGTTTTAGAAATTTATCAAATCATTAACTCTTTTCTTCCAACTTCTCTATACGTGCATTAAAATATAATTTCAAGTGACCATGTGCCTTTTAATACTTATATATGTATAAATTAATTATACCATAAAATCTCTAAGAAATATGTTATATTTTGTATATCTTATCTTCAGCTAATGTATAATAGTTATATATATATATATATATATTTTAATCCATGATGTATACAATATGACATTTTAAGATTTATTTTTATTTTTAAATTGTGTGTGTGGTTATTTGTACATGACTCCATGTGTCCTTATACGAAGAGTCCAATCCCCTGGAGCTTGAGTGACAGGCTGGCATGAACTGCTTGATGCAGGTGCCAAAAGCTAAACTTGCTTTCACTGTTCTTAATGCTGGATCATCTCTCCAGCCCCCAGGTGTCCTTTGTCAAATGTGTTCTCTTGAGCCTTGGTCTTGAATATTTCCATGTAGTCTCTTTTCTGATTTTTGTCAACTTGCAGTTTCTGTTTCCACATTGAATTCTTTTATTGACAAATTAATTATTGGAAGGTATAACTCTATAGCCCCAGAATCATAAACTAGAAATGTAAAAAAATTTTTAAAACATTGATTTAAAACTTATAGAATAGTCTCACTTAAAAAAACTGGGCGTTGTATAACTTATCCATATAATCCTTCATTGATGAATTTCTTTCAAGTTTGTGATTTAAAAATTTATTCATTTTGAAGTATTCATGGTTTACTATGTAGTTAACACTTCTTCACACATAGTACACATGCATAAATATTTGTTCTTACAGCTGATTATGTGAAATTCCTTTACTTAAACCTCGTTCTCTTTCTGATTTAATTTTAGTCTATCTGAAGCCAAAATAACCAATTAACTCCACGGCACTACATTTTATGATAAAAATGCTTGCTCTTTGGATGGATTTTTTTTCAATTTACTTCCAGTTTAATTTACAGTTGGTAAAAAGTCACTCTTCTCCTTACCTTCCACTTTACATATTTGTATTAATATATAAATGGTTCACTATTGAGCACAATAATATTAGCTGGTCACCACCACATAATCCCATGGTCATGATTGGCTATTTTAACTAAGCCCACAACACATTCTTGAGTAACTTTCATGCACTGTGTTTATGTTTAGTTTATAAACATTATTAAACCTATCTTGTCTAAAAAGCAAAATAGTGAGCACTTTAGAAGTATTATTGTTTATTCAACTTTGGTAGAGCATAAAAACTGCTGTGAATTGAAAACCAAATGTAGTAGCTCCTTCTGTGTTGACTTGACCACACTAGAAGGTGCTGGACAGGCATTTTGACCCTGCGGTTGAATCTGTGGGGTTGTGTGCTAGTCTAGAGTAACAGAATTATAGAATGAATGTCCATATGGAGAGAATGGAGATTTATCAGAATGACTTACAGGCTGCTGTCCAGGTAGTCCAACAATGACTGGATGTGAACAGAACGTTCAAGAATCTAGCAGTTACTCAGTCCTCAGGGCCGGATGTTTCAGCTGGGCTTCAGTATACCCTGGGATCCTTAAGAAGCAGATTCTAATGCCACCATAGAAATGGACTTCTTAGCAAGCAAGAATGGGAGTGCGGTGTGGGGGGAGAAGCCGGCAAAGAAAAGCTTCCTTCTGCCTTGTAATTGCACAGGCTTCCAGCAGAAGGCATGGCCCAGAATAGGGGTGGCTTTTCCCAGATCTATAGATCTGGATTAAAGTCTTCCTTCCTCAAAGACCCAAATAAGAAGTGAATCTTCCTGCTAAAAATGAAGCAGAATTCCCTAACAGATGCCCTCCACTTTGGGGTTTTAGTTAATAGGTGATATAGTCAAGTCGATAACCAAGAGTAGCCATCAAAGGATATTTTTGAGGTTAGTACTTGAATTGAATCAATATATTGAATAAAATGAATTGTCCTTTGTAGTTAGGTGGACCTTACCAAATCAGTTCATCAAATGGAGGTCTCCAAAAGACAAGGCTTTTTTTTTTTTAAGAGGGAGTTTCTGCTGCTAACTACTCCTAGCTTATGCATGATTTTTCTTGTTTTTGTTTGTATTGTCAGTGAGTTTGTTTTGTTTTTCATTTGGCTTCTCAATCTAAAACACTGGCTACTCTTGGGTGATTAACCACCTTCTATTCTTCAAACAGAGACTGCCACCCATGTGGTCTCATAGTCCTCAGGCTGCAGCCTTGGACTGGAATTATTCAACGGCTTGCCGAGACTTCAGCCAACTGGTTGCAGACCTTAGGACCTCTCAGGCTGCATAATCACGTGAATGTATTCCCAAATATATGTATGAATATTTAAATAGTAAAAATGGCACTAACTACTATAATTTTACTACTATTTATAGTTATATAATATATATAACATAATATTGTTTATAATAAAAACAATATTATAGGACTGGAGAGATGCCTCAGCCATTAAGGGCTAGCCTCACAACCAAAAAACAATATTGTATATTAATTTTATTTGTGATAATATAACAATTATGTATAACTAAAGACTGTAAGTCTTTAAAATATATAAATTATCATCATTGGGGATGAATTGCTCATAAACTGTAAAGCCAGTGAAGGAACAAAGAAAGTAGTACATGTGTAAATTTTGTCTTCTATGTCATTGATGATGTCAGCTAATAGAATTGCCAAGTGAGTGATCAAAACAGGCCTAGGCACATAGCTCAGGACTAGAAGGCATGCGCAAGCACATACATGCAGTTAGACCTTTTGAGAGGATTTTGTGGCCATGCCTAGCAATCTATTTGCAATTCAGAATCGGAGCACTTGTCCCAAACTTTCAGCAGCCAAAGCATAGCAATGTCACTGAGTGTCATCATCTGCTTCCAGAGTGTCTTATAACTTAGGACAGCACTGAAGGGTCATCTCTTTCAGGGGAGGCATGCACAAACTTTGACATGTATATTAATCACCTAAAAGACTTGTTGAGTTTTTGTCTTGTTTTGTTTTGGTCAAGCAGGCAGGTACTCACATACATTTCCAGAATTTGGCAAGCTGGACCTGTGGTATCAAGGGTACAAGGCCATCTTCAGCCACACAGTTAGTTAAGCTGTGTACCATCTTTGGCTACTCACTGAGACCTTGGCCCCCTCCTCTACTACCTAAACAGCTTGTCAACCCTTCACCTGGCGTGACTGTCTGGGTCCCTCAGGTGGGCCAAGATTTTGCTTACTTTAAAAACTCACAGGTAAAACTGACGCTCCTGGCCAATGTAAAGCAAACACACTGGGAGGATCTCTGTTCCACCTAAGACTTCCCTTGATTCTTTACTGTTTTATTTGGACAGTTGAGACAGACTAATTCGGAAAATGTTCCTTGATTAACTGGCTATCAGCAGAAAACATGCTAGCTGTCTTCTTGAACCTGTTACTTGTCTTTCAAACTTGCAAATGTCTAAAGGAAAAATGGATGCTTATATTTGCATATCCATACCATATTTGGGAATTACCACCGTAAACTTGCTTCTTTGGTAGCTTTGCACTTAAAATCAATTGGAAGTGTGAAGGGAGAGAGGCTGCCCTTAATGTGATTGCATAGGAACATAGAAGGTGAGCCTGATATCTTCTTTTATATAGGTCCTAGGGACACATCCAACTATAATATTCTAGCTTTAAATAATCACACACTAGATAAAGAGAAATGGGTCTCCTCCTACATAAGGACATTAAAGAGGTCATTTAGAATCTGTAGACAGTAAAAATTTGATGCTTTTACCTGTGTTTACACTTCCTGCGGAATTCTTCTTCCACAATGTCAAATGAAAAGGTTAATTTCCATTTCCTTGAGAATTGATTGAGTTCGAGGCACTTCTAGTTTGTATGTTCCTAGCTTTACCCTCTGGCTGGCGAAAAATAAGAAGCAAAACTCACATCAGCCAATTTTGCTGCAAATAACAGGTTTTTTTAAATGAGAAGTTGAAATTGCTTTCTGAAATGAAATTTGGGGCGTGACTGTAGACTTCAGTTGGATGTTATCTCTGCTTTCCCCCACCATATAAAATTAAGAGTTTATTGTAATTATTCTGCACAGTCTATATTTAAAGGTTTTTTTCCTAGTTTCCCTAAGGCATACAGTGTCTCCTTAAAGAGTGGTTGTAGAAAGCCAAGTTATTGGCTATTTCCAAAGAAAAGAGACGTAAATAATGTGCATGACTATGAGGAACACAGCTAGACAGAAAAGTGCTGAGTGACTCTCAGGAGGCAGAAAGCAAACTTGGAACCCACTACAACAAAAAGCATTCACACACCTTAGGATGTTGTTAGAAATTCCAATTTCAAAAAATATTTTTAAAATATTGGAAGTCAGATTTGATAACCTTTCTCTAAATTATATGTCATTTCTTCCCTTGTAGTGTTCCTTAAATGGAACTCGGATTAGTTGATCAGGTTTAAAATTTATTAGAAAGAGCTAGCTTCTCAGAGGGTATTTTTGTTTTTTGTTTTTGGAAGTGTTTTTGCATCAGTGTAATTCTTGAAGGCCCGCTTTGTCAGATCTCAGAAATGGTATTGAAGCTCAAAAACCATTGAAAACAACAATAATTATAACTATACAATTAATTTAGGCACATTTGTAATTGAACAAAATGGATATTACACAGGTCTGATATGATTTAAATATTACTCTTCTTTAAGGAATTTATCTTTTTAATTAAAAATATCTTTATTTCTGGATTGCTAAACTATGACTGACATCAGTTAGTCCTTGGCCACAATGGCCTCAGTAGTTTAAAATTCCTCCAACTACCTCCTCCGGAACACATTTTGAAGGCATGAAATTTCTAAACAGATGTTAAGTCATTATGTCTAAAGTATGATAGACAGTTGACATTATTCATCCAGTATGTTTGCTGTTCAATTAATTTTGTTCTATTGGTGATCCTTCAGTTTTCAGTTGGAAACTGATCATAAATACATTCTCTAAATCCACAGCAGAAGTGAGCATCCCTGTTCATGGTTACCCTATGCTACTGGCTTGTCATGTGTCCTATGCTTATAACCACCTGGAAATTTGTTTACAAAAAATTCTAAACCTTAAGCTCCATGATTCATTGCCACATCCCCAGTATTTAGAAAAAGCACATACAGCAGTTTATCAGTAAACAAATGAATAACTATATGAATTAGTTTAAGAAATTATGACTATTATCAGGTATGTTCATGTCAACAGCTCCCCTCCTTTGTTTTCTATTAATTTGCTAATAGAATTGCTTGAGACTGAAATTCTTGAGGTAATTTCTTTTCTAGTTTTAAGAGTTACTATGTTCTCCATGAAACACGAGCAGATTAGTTGGCAAGGACATTCAACTTGCAACACCACTTGCTATTAAATGCTCACAAATGTCACAAGGCACATAATAGATGTGGATTTGGTCACTGCTGTCTGCTCATATTCTAATCATGATGGTGCTGCAAACTTCATGCATATTTAAGCAAGCATGGTGTATCTCACCACAATGGTTATGGACTTCATGGAAAAGTAAACAAAATGGTGTATTTCACCATGGAGACTATGGATTTTCCAGCCTCCATCCACCTCTGCTCAGTTTGACATTGCTCTTATTTCAGGACATTCATTATAACAGCATTAAAATGAAACTATATATATATATATATATGCATATATATATCTCACATATATAAAAGTTGTGTAACTATCTGTGACACATTTCCAATAAGGCTTTTATAGCATATTTTTAAAACTAACTTTTCAGTCAAGCATTTTTGTGCACATTTTCAGAAAAGTAATGTGATACCATGTATCAAGAATCCTATGCTTAACCACTAACTTCATTTTTCAACTTTAATTTGAAATATAGGGTAGAGAGATGACCCAAATAACAGATTAATAACATACAGTAGCAAAATTATACAAATGATGAAATTTATGCCTCAAAGATTTCACATACAGTTTTAGCACATCTAAATATCATGGCATATGCCCAGAATTAAATTGGTAAGAATGACTATTTAGTGACCATTTTCCTTTAGTATTTTTCTACTTCAGAGATTTAATATATTTAAATATTGGCTTAAATGAAAATACCTTCAGTTTTAGTCACAGATTAACTCATTATACCTTCCCTTTCTTTAGAACCTACTGTCATTGTCCTTATTAGCCATTTATTGATAATGATTAGAAGTCAGAATAAAACTAATACTTATAAGTATTTTATTAGTATAGAAAATATATAGTAGCCAAAGAACTAACAGTAATAATGTGAAGTGAAATTTGTGTTTTAAGTATTGTGTATGCCATGTCAAGATGAGAAAAACAATTGACAATCTAATATCTGGATTCCTTCCAAGGAGTTCCTTAAAAGTAGAAAAATATAACAGTCTAAATTTGTCACAAAATTAGCTGTGACTGTTATGTCATTTCCAAATGACAATCAGAAAATATTTATACTTAAGAAACTATATTTTATGACAAGAAACAACATGCAGTCTATTTCTGCTTCCATATTAGCTTTGTAGGTATAATGTGTCTGCATAAAGTTGAGTTACAACCTAGTTTTAATTCTTAAGAGAACTTGATCAGGAAATGTAAAAAGGAGTTCTTAAATGGTCTAAATAATAAAAAACATATATAGGGGGAAATGCTAAGAGATCAAAGAGAAAAAGGAGCAAGCCAAAGCCACCTTTACCTCCTTAGCATCTCTGTGGACAAGAGAGCAAGTTCCTGTTTCTTCCCACTTACATCCTCTCTCTGCCTAGTCAACATCCTTCCTGTCTGTGCCCAGCCATCTCACTTCCTGTTTCTGCCCAGCTATCTCACTTCCTGTCTGTCTGTATAGACCTCCAGACCTCTATGGTTAGCTAGTGGGAAGCTCCATTCTCTGGTCTTCAAACAGGCTTTATTTATACAAGCAAGACATCACTACAAGGAAAGCTAGAAACACTTAATTGTTTTAAAAGATACAGATTTTTATAAACATAGTTGTTCTGCAAAAATAGCCTATAAATATTGTATGCCGCTCCTTTTGTATACTTTGTTAAAAAGCTAAAATGCATAAAAAAGAAATCATAGAGGGTTTGTAACATGACTGTGATTAAATATTTTAGAATGTGTGAAAATAAAATTCAGAATAATTTACTGTTAATAAAATTTGACCATTTGATACCAGCATTAGGCTAATGTTTTTTCTAAGGAACGAAAACAGTATTTTTTCTAAAACCGAATAAATATCCAAAGCAGTAGATAAAAACATTGATTCAATGATATACATATAGAAACTTTTTTTTACACTTCGATATATTTTATATTCTATTAATTATGTTATATATTGCATAAGTAGATATTCCAAAAAGAAAAAAAACTGTAAAAAAGGGCATCTATTTGGTGTGTACATATGTGTGTATTAGCAAGTGTGTACATACAAAATGAGTAAATACATTCACTTATCAGTAGTAATACATCAATATTTGTGATCTGGATTAATGAACTGCTAGACCAAAAGACTGGCCAGCTAAATTATCCTAGCAACTTTCTTGTATATTTTATTTTGTTTTCCACCCACTTGTTACAAACTAAAGAACTATGAAATATTACCCTGTAAGTCCTCACCTTATGTAGACCCAGAGATTATTGTCATATTAGGACCCGTGAAAATGTCAGAGTGATGCTGAGATATATCTATGCTGTGACCTGTGGAGAGCTGTTCTGTGATATATTTTTGTAGCCATTTTGAAAAGAACCTGGAGAATAGTGTAATAACCATTAAAAGGGAAATTAGCCATAACATCCAGGAAGATGTATGGTTCACTCCCATTTATATAACTCTCGCTAATTCCATTTTATACATTTAGCCTGTGTCTTTATTGAAGCCACTGATTATAAGTTAATAGGAGCATTAACTCTTTCTTCTCCATTGAGTCAGTTAAACCTCATGATAGTCAAAATTTGTCACTAGCTGTATATGTAATAGTGAAACTTAATGAAATGAGTATAATTTTCATTAGGAAATACTTTATAGCAACCTTGACTTTGTCTTAAAATCGTATTTCAACTATTTGGCAAAGACTCTGACACTATACAAAGCTAGAAAAAGTTGGTGCAAATAAAACCATGATTTTATTTAAAATTAGGGGATAACCATTTTAATAAAATGGCAGCAACCACAGTCAAGAATGAAAAAAAGAAGACTAAATGTTCATATGCTTACATTTTCAGAATTTGCCCTTATTGATTTCTGTTTATGTTTGTAGTGTTGTTTGTTAATACATTTCTAGACCCAAACTACTGGCAGTTTCCAATGCTGTCTCTGCCAGATATAATCCCTATAACTTGGCTGGTTAGCAACTGTTTTACACTCAGAATGTGTAGAGTATCCCAAGAATGAACTGACTTGATGCATTACAAGATGCCACTCAGTAGACACCAGCATGTAACACCACTATTGTAAACCTTTATAAAACATTATTAGAATTATTGTGAGCTTCATGGACATAGGCACAGTACATTTGATGCATCTGAAGTAGGATCACACATATTACATTGCAAGATAAATCCAGTTGTTGAGAAGTGATTGAAAAATTATTTGTGCATGCTATAAATGAGAAATAATAGTGATTTTTTAAAAAAAGAACTTTTAAAAAGTCTTGATAATGTTAAGTATATGAATATTAAAGAACTGCCAGATTTCAACTGGTAGTTATTCATTATTTAATAGGAGAAGCAATGTAGACCAAGAAATACAAGGTGCTTTGGAGTGGTAGACACTGGTTACTGTTTTACTAAGTAAAATATCATTCAGTTTTACTAAGTTTTGAGTAAATATCATTCAGAATAATGGCATGTCATTGCCTAAATTGAACAAAATCAGGAAAGGCACTTTCTGTAGTTTTTATCCTTAAATGAGTAGTGTATCAGGCTTTCTTCATCAATTTAATAATTAAAAATGAATGAATGAGTGACCTTTCTGAGATTTCTGGTGATATTCTTATCTGGAAATTTGTGGTGACTTTTGCAAGTTGCTTAACCAAGTAGATTTCCCTCCCATGTAAATACTGTTACCTTTCTTTCAACAACTTCAGTCTCTTTATACTAGAAACCTAGTTACTGTGAGGTTTAGTGTCCAGTGAAGTCAATGCATGTGAATGTACCTAGGGTTAGTTTTGTTTCTTTTTGGTTTGTTTGGATATTTGTGAAGCAGCATCTCTCTCTTATAATTTGTAGACCAAGCTTGCCTGGAACTTGCTGTGTAGACCAGGCTGGGTCCAAACTCACAGTGTCTCTTCTCCTGCATCCCAAATGCTGAAACCAAAAGCATCCACCACTGTGCCTGTTTTTAAAACATACTTTAATTTGTGCCAAAGCCTCCTTTGACTTTGGGGATCAAGCACATTGTGAGTTGGCTGAAAGCCTGACAGCAGAAGCAGCAGTTGGAGGTATCCCAAGCAAAAATCACAGCTGGGGAGTATTAATGTGACCATGGTAGGGGGATAGGTTGTAATTTGGAAGTGTTCAGAAATCTGTAGTCCAGCTTAGCACCACCATGGTGGTCTGAGAGAGTTGCCTCCTTTAAAACAGAGTGGATTAGGAAGAATCAAAGTTCAGAGACAGGTAAAACTTGGCAAGGACTGGTCTGTGTGAT